CCGTGTGAGCACACTCAAGATGAGCTATTACTATGAATATGTATTTTTTTGCAGCAAGCGTTAATGATGACTATTGTCAACTTGGCTCAGAACTTCGTTGGAAGTAACAATGTTAATCTGCTACAACCTATTGGTCAGTTTGGTACCAGGCTTCATGGTGGAAAGGATGCTGCCAGCCCTCGCTATATTTTCACCATGTTAAGGTAAACACAAATGCAAAGCTAAATGCATCCTTTTAAAAAGCCTTGTTATGAAACTAATCCTTTCACAACATTACAGGTTTTTTTGTGGGGGAGGACTGGAATATTTTGGTAGAAGCTCAAATTCCTCTTTAAATCTATAAGTGTGTTTTTGCACATGGATTTTTTGCATGATTTTCCATGCATAGAAGTGCTATGGGAACCATAGCTTTTAAGGAATTAAACTTTGAATCCTAAGGCTGAAGACTGAAACTGTAGATTACTCAGATTAGTTACTGATCTTAAATTGTGACCTCTTGCAGAAGTACCTTTCAGTTTCCCTGTTCGTTGTGAAATCTGTTCATAAGTCTTCATAAATCTGTGATAAGTCTTGTAACTAAGCATAGACTTGGAAGTTGAGATGGATTTTTTTCCTTTCGGATGAGTTTCTTCATATCAAGCTAAATTACACATACATAATGAATAATGAAGACCTAATCTAATGATCCTGATTTTCACAGCTAATACCTTGAAATTTAATTTGGCCTGCAGAATGTTAGAATGTGTTCCTTAATGTAAATTGTAGTATTTTATAAGTTAAGTTGCTTCTTTTATTTCCTAATTGCAGTGTCATTATTTGTCTAAAATTCCTTGTAGTTTCTAATTTTCCTCTAATTGTAAGCTTTTTACATAAGTATCAGCTGTTATTCCCTTTCTCATATATTTCTGTAGCAACCTAGTTTTGTACATTTTCCTTTTTGCATGATGTTCTGGAAGTGGTATTCACCCAGGACAATGTTCTAGATGAGCAAAAGGAGTCACGAGGAAAAGCTCTGTAGTATTTTCGGAGACTTCTAGGCCTACAATTAAGCAACAAAGTTTTGCAACTATTTGCATGCTCTGTTGCTTTATTACTGGGTGACCTGCTGTCACATGGAACTGAGTGTTCTGAATGCTTCAGAGAATGATATTTTTGTAGATGTTAAGTGTCATCGATTACTAGTGTATCGTGTACATACGTTACTGTGAAGGAAACAAACATAGTCTGTTATGAACACACTCTTCTATTGTGAAGAACTTCCTTGTCTCAGAAGGCATGTACATTGTGTTTTCAGCTTTAGAATGGCAAAGAGAAAGACATGAGAAAAATCAAATAGATCGTATTTGGACCCATGGACTGTTGAAGCATTATGTACTCTACTTGCTGGACTCCAGTTAAACAGTTCTCTTATTTTTCTTTTTTTAAAGCCCTTTAGCAAGGCTGCTTTTTCCATCAGTGGATGACAACTTGCTTAAATTCCTTTATGATGACAACCAACGTGTAGAGCCTGAATGGTATATTCCCATCATTCCTATGGTTTTAGTAAATGGAGCTGAAGGAATTGGTACTGGATGGGCTTGCAAACTTCCAAACTACGATACCAGAGAGATTGTAAACAATGTCAGACGAATGCTGGATGGCTTAGATCCCCACCCAATGGTAAAAATAATAGTGTATACTGGTATTTTATGTTTGCTAAAGAAACCTTATTTTGTACTTACAAAATGAATTCGTATCACTCAATGCTTGATTATTGGAACATTTGAGTTGGATTGTCCCAGTAATTTTGTTTAGGAGCTTTACTGGACTGTTGGGATGAGGCTGGGGAAGTTTACCTTGAAGCAAAAACGTTGCAATTTGTATTCTTCCAGTTATTTCAGAGGACTACTTATTCAGACTGCTAACTGTAAGCCTTCACAGCTGCAAGTCTTACAGGGTAGTTATGACATGGCAGTAGAGTAAAACGTTATACCACTTTTTCTTTTTTGAGGTTCCACCTCCT